AATAGATTTTATGACAAAATCAAATATAGATTAGCAAGATTATGACAAAATCAAAATTAAATTATTCAAGAAATGTTTCTATAGTAAAATTTCTATTTAAGGAATATTCTTCCTTCAATTTTGGTCCAAGTGATAAACGAATAGCAGTGAATTTGGACTGATTTTCGTTCATGATACATTTCCCAACTCAAGGTTTAGTCTAGGTGATATTATCCCTTTAATTTAGGTGCCTATTTAATAATATATATATGTATATGCAGAGTAATTATTGGTCTATATTTATATTGTAAAATTTTATTTTTAAATGTCTGTTGTAATACTCATGGCATAATTGATTTCTTTCTATATAATTGATTAGTTTGTAATTTCAATAGCAGGGAAAGATCAGTTGATGCTTAACTAAGTTCTAGTCTCTTGCGTCTTAGTTTATAGTCGTTTGTTGTTACGAGGTATGTAATTGTACAGTACACAGAATGTACAGATAATTGACATAGCGACTGACCAGATTCCTGTTAGCTATAATGATATGCATACGATAGAGTACTTCCATTTTTTGATGTTCTGTTCTATTTTTAGTTTCCTTTATCAGGACCCGCTAGGCAGTATATGGAAGCGCGTTCGAATCCCTATTAGTAATAACGCCTAGTAGTTAATTCCCTTAATCTAGCCTAAATAAGTCTAGTGAAATTCAATTAAAGAAACGTTTGGATGCAAGTATAGCATATCATCAGCTCGCATGTAGTCTCTTTGTCAAATTAAAGCATTCTTTCCATGAATTATAATGTTTTCTCCACTTTGTAAATAATTAATCAGAAGTTGATAAGAATCCGGATTAGGCCAAAGCATATAATTAAATTAGTATGTACCTTTTCCTTCTAGTTTTAGAGACAAACGCATTAGAAATGTAGCTNTATGTATATGCAGAGTAATTATTGGTCTATATTTATATTGTAAAATTTTATTTTTAATAAGATACTGGTCATTTACATCTATATTATATTAAAAGGAGACTAATGAAGCATGAGGTTAAGCCAAGTGGCATATTGAGAAAAAGTCAAACTAATAAAAAATTATCAAGACATTAAGTCAAACTAATAAAAAATCACATGATAGTAGACAACATTAAGTAATGAGTAATACAATAACTATAAGCAAAGAACAAAAAGAGAAAAAAATGTAGAAAGATAAGATATATTTTAACTTGAGATGTAAAACAAAGTTTTAGTAACAATTTTATTAAAATAATATGATTTAATTATGTTTAGATCACAACATGACATGTTTAGTATTCTTTAATATTAATTACGAAA